ATGGGCGCCGCGCCCGCGCCCATGGAGCGCGGCGTGTCCGCAGAGCCGGGGCCCGTGATCCTGGGGCGGTCCTGCGGGGGGCAGCGTTGCAGCTGGGGCCCTGAAGTTGGATCTCCAGTGATCGTTTTCTTATTCGTTGTTTCGCCGATCGGCGCTGGTCCTCGCCCCCCCCCCCCCTCTTCCCCCTCTCCATGGAGGAGATCGTGGCTGTTTTTGGCGCCTGCTTCGAGCAGGTGGAGCTTCCCCCGCAGGGCACACTGCTGCAAACAGTCGCGCTGAGCAGATGTCCGTGCAGTCGGGGCCCTGAAGCAGGAGCCCTTTTGGTTGGGGAGGGGCTCCGCATTCCTTAGGTGTTTCACAGCTGGCCTCAGGTTTTCTTTATGCTTTCGATAGGGAATCGAAGCTTAACTTAGAGAATAAAAGGGGCCTCGTTCCTGATTGAGGGTTCCTTAGGTCAACGCCCCGACTGTAGTCCGGGCTCAGAGGTTCGAGGATCGGGGGAGCGAGGTTCGCCTCTGGGAAGGCGTTCCTCGTGGCCACGGCTGGATCCGCCTCGGAATTCCGGGCAGAAGGCATCCCAGGAGAGGTCCAGGGATTGGTTTTTGACCCTTGATCAGGGTCCGCAGGGCGCAGGGAATCTGTTGAGTCGAGTTTCAGAGGTGCAGTCATTTAGGTGGGAGCAGATGGGGTCGGGGGTTTGCGCCGCATCGCCTATGCATCGGCGATGTAGTTCGATGTGGAGCCCGATTTTCTCCGCGCCGGCGTCGCCGATGCATCGGCGACATGGCGCAATCTTCCGACCCCACCTGCTCCTACCCTATATTTGGAAGGCCTTGGTCCAGGGGAGATGGGCTCAGGGGGGCCAGGCTTGTCCCTCTACAGGAGGAATATTCAAAAATAGTAAAACATAGTCTGGGGTTGATTTGTTGAATTTTTTTTCTCAACCATCCTGTGGTGTTGGGTCCTCGTTTTGAAGAGACGGTCCCGCGTTCTTCTCCTCCTCCCGCCTCCTTCCTCCTATCCCTCCTCCCTCCTCCCCCTCCTTGCCTCTGCTCTCCGCATGTCTACCATTTCGGCACACCCCTCACCCGTTTCGTGGCCCCCCAGTGGGACCGCCCGCATGCGTCAGCCACCACCGAACACAGCGTTTCGTGGCCCCATAAAGGGGCTCCACCGAAGGCCCCAGTGGCACCGCCCGCATGCGTCAGCCACCACCCAGTACAGCGTTTCGTGGCCCCGTAGGGAGCTCCACCGAAGGTCCCAGTGGGACCGCCCGCATGCGTCAGCCACCACCCCGTACAGCGTGTCGTGGCCCCATAGGGAGCACCAGCGACGGCCCCAGTGGCACCGCCCGCATGCGTCAGTCACCAACCAGTACAGGGTGTCGTGGCCCCATAGGGAGCTCCACCGACTGCCCCAGTGGGACCGCCCGCATGCGTCAGTCACCGCCAAGTGCAGCGCTTCGTGGGCCGACGGCCCGCGAATTTTTTGAGGTGGTTTTCTTCTCCCAGCCGCGGCCGCGGCTGCGGTCGCGGCTGCAGCTGCGGTCGCGGCTGGGAGGGGGAAACTATCGCGATTTTTTCGCGGTGGGTGGCTGTTTTCGCAGCCGTGGCTGCGGCCGCGGCTGGGAGTGGGAAACTATCGCGACCTTTTCGTTTCGTGGCCTCATAGGGGGCTCCACCGAAGGCCCCAGTGGCACCGCCCGCATGCGTCAGCCACCACCCAGTACAGCCTTTCGTGACCCCGTAGGGAGCTCCACCGAAAGGCCCCAGTGGGACCGCCCGCATGTGTCGTCCACCACCGGTGGCCCCATAGGGAGCTCCACCGAAGGGCCCAGTGGGACCGCCCGCATATGCGTTTCCCCCACCGGGTACCGCTTTTCGTGGCCCCGTAGGGAGTTCCAGTGACCCGCCCGCATGCGACACCCACCCAGTACAGCGGTTCGTGGCCCCATAGGGAGCTGCACCGACGGCCCCAGTGGCACCGCCCGCATGCGTCGGCCACCACCCAGCACAGCGTTTCGTGGCCCCACAGGAGCTCCACCGCAGGTCCCAGTGGCACCGCCCGCATGCGTTTCCCCCAACCAGTACAGCGTTTCGTGGCCGCATGGGGAGCTCCAGCGAGGGGTACCGCCCGCATGCGTCGGCCACCACTCAGTACAGCGCTTCGTGGCTCCACAGGGGGCCCAACCGAAGGCCCCAGTGGCACCGCCCGCATTCGTCTCCCCCACCCATTACGGCACGTCCCTCACGCGTTTCGTGGCCCCATCAGGAGTTCCACCGACAGCGGCACCCACAACGCGTTGCTCACAACTGCGCATGCTTGGGCCCTTCGCCAGGATGCTTTTGACCACTGTTGCGTATTTGTCAGAGTATATTTTTTGATCTGTCGCCCAGAACCCGCCCGTAGGGGGACACACCCGAGCTAAGGCTACATCGACCCCCAATGGTCCACTGATCGCCGACAGGGGGCCTGACAGCCCAACCCCCGCCCAGCAGCGTGCGGCTTCGCCGTCGGGGGCCCGTCGCGGGACTCTCGGCGCTGCGTCGCCGATGCGTCCCGAGGAGGAGGAGGAGGAGGAGGAGGAGGAGGAGGAGGAGGAGGAGGAGGAGGAGGACGAGGAGAGGAGGAGGAGGGGGAGGAGGAGGAGGAGGAGGAGGAGGAGGAGGAGGAGGAGGAGGAGGACGAGGAGAGAGGAGGAGGAGGGGGGGAGGAGGAGGAGGAGGAGGAGGAGGAGGAGGAGGAGGAGGGACAGGGGGGAAGGGGGCCCGTCGGGGCCCGTCCCTCCCCGCATGTCGTTCTCCCTCAGGTCTGGCGACGGCTCTCCGGCGAGCAAGCAGGCCCCGCTCCACGGGGGAGAGAGGGGAGGGTCAGAGAGGAGGGTGCGAGTCCGGGGTGGGGATCGGCGGGGGTGGGTCGGGGACGGGCGTCCTCTCTCCGGACGTCCACATCTCCAGGCACAAGGAGAGCGGCACAGACATACTCTTTTTGGGAGGTTTTGCGCGGACCTCCGAACGCTCAGGTGTTTGCGTGTCTTGTCTTCCGGGGGGTGGCCGTGGATGAAGCGGCTCCTCAGAGAAGCTCAGATCGTTTCCAAAGAGCTGGCCTTCAGCTGGGGGTGGCGCGAGGGCGCGAAGGTAGCTGCGCGCTGCGTATCGCGGAGCAAGAAGGCGCGCTCCACGGAGAGAGTCGGGGGCCTAGATCCATACATTCATGTTTTCTGGCCCAGACAGCAGTTTTGTTTCCTTTGACGGCGCTGGGTATTGATGCGTCTAGGGGAGCCGAGAAAGCGCTGAAGAACGCACAGTTGAGGCTCAGCGCCAGCGCCTTTGTGAGATGTCAGCCGGACAAACGAGCCTGGAGGATGGTCGAGGGTCTTGGTTTTCCTGGCTTTTTGGTGCTCTTGTTTCGCCTGCTTTTTTTTGGGTGTGCACCGAAGGCCGCCTGGCGGCGCGCCAGATGACTCCTCGGCTCGCCTTGGGGCCGCGCCCTGGTGGGATGCCGCCCCCGTCTCCAGGCGCCTGGCGTTTGCTCCTTCGGGGCCTTGTCGTCGACCTCAAGCTTTTTTCCGCACGAAACAGATTACTGGACTCTTTGCGAGTCCCCTGGAGAGGGGCGGGGGGAAGAGGAGTCCAAGATCCCAAGTCCCTGGCCCCTCGCCCTCCTTCTTGCTCGTCCCTCGCCCTCCTTCGTCGTCCCTCGTCCTTCTGCCTGGTCCCTCGAGAGAGAGAGAGAGAGAGAGAACAAGAAAAACAACTTTCTTGGTGAAGGGCCCAACCATGTGCAGTTGTGAGTATCGCCATTGTGGGTATCGCCGTCGGCGGATCTTTTCATGGGGCCACGAAGCGTGTAAAGGGTGTGCCGAAATGAGGCGGAGACGCATGCTGGCGCAGCCATTGGGGCCTTCGGTGGCGCTCCATGTGGGTTCACGAAACGTGTGAGGGGTCTGCCGAGATGAAGCGGGGCTGCCATGCGACCGTCGCCACTGGGGCCTTCGGTGGAGCTCCCTATGAAGCCACGAAGTGCTGCACTGAGTCGGGGAGACGCGTGCGAACACCGCCACTGGGGCTTTCGGTGGAGCTCCGTATGGGGCCACGAAGCGCTGCACTGAGGGGGGGAAACGCATGCGAACACCGCCACTGGGGCCTTCGGTGGAGCTGCTTACGGGGCCACGAGACGTTGTGCTGGGTGGGGGACACGTATGCGAACACCGCCACTGGGGCTTTCGGTGGAGCTCCCTATTTGGCCACGAAGCGCTGCTCTGGGTGGGGAAGCGCATGCGAACACCGCCACTGGGGCCTTCGGTGGAGCTCCCTATGGGGCCACGAAGCGGGTGAGAGGTGCGCCTAAGTGGAGGGGGGACGGCATGCGGACCATGCTGCTGGGGCTTTCGGTGGACCTAGCTATGAGGCCACGAAGCGTGTGAGGGGCGTGCCAAGATGGAGGGGGGGCGGCATGCGAACCATGCTACTGGGGCTTTCAGTGGAGCTTCTTGTGGGGCCGCGAAGCGTGTGAGGGGTGTGGTGTGCTAAACTGGACGGGGGCCGGCATGTGAACCATGCCAATGGGGCCTGGGGTGGAGCTCCCTATGGGGCCACGAAGCGTATGAGGGGTGTGCCGAAAATGGCCACTGGGGCTTTCGGAGGGGCTTCCCATGGGGCCACGAAACGTGTGAGGGGTGTGCCGAAACGTAGGGGTGGCGGCATGCAAACCATGCTACTGGGGCCTTTGGTGGAGCTCCCTATGGGGCCGCGAAGCGTGTGAGGGGTGTGCCGAAACGGAGGGGTGGCGGCATGCAAACCATGCTACTGGGGCCTTCGGAGGAGCTCGCCATGGGGCCACCAAGCGTGTGAGGGGTGTGCCAAAGTGGAGGGGGGCGGCATGCGAACCATGCCACTGGGGCCTGCGGTGGAGCATTCTGTCGGGCCACGAAGCGTCTGAGGGGTGTGCCAAAGTAGGGGGGGGTGACGGGCGTGCCGAGCTGGTTGACATGCGGAGGGCAGAGGCAGGGGTGGGAGGAGGGAGGAGCGGGATGAGGAGGAGAGGAGAGGAGAGGAGAGGAGGAGGAGATGCGGGGGCCGTCTCCAGAAAGCGAGGGCCCAGCACCACGCGATGGCCGGGACAGAGAGAGAGAGAGAGAAGTGAGAAGAGAAGCACCACGCGCGCACGGAGTCTGTCCCGCCGACGGTGCTGCAAGCGCCCCGCTCGGCCGTGCCGCTCCTCCGTGGGCCGAGACGGCTGCCTCCCAGAGTCTGTCCAGTCGAAGCCCCCCAAAGCCAGGCGGTTTGGGTGGGCAAGACGCAGATTCCTCCTCCTCCTCCTTCTCCTCCTCCTCCTCCTCCTTCCCCTCCTGCTCCTTCTCTTCCTTTTCCTCCTCCTCATCCTCGCGGGCCAGGCGGGAACACACACATTCGCCGTCCCCCTCGCCGTCGAGGGCTGCAGACCGGCTCCGCATTCGAGACCGGGGCGCAGCAGAGCACCGCAGCACACGGGCGTTTCGGGAGGCTCGCAGGCGGGGTCGGCGACATGGCAAAGCACCACGGCCGACATGACTGGGCACCTCACCACCAGCCTGCCTACTCAGAAGACTCCTGGCGCGTGGCGGCGGTCGGACGCGCGGCGGGCAGCCAGGGCGCGGCAGGCGGCCACAGCGCGGCGCACCGTGAGGCGAGCGCTCGCGTGGGACTGGGTCGCGCCCGCGCCCAGGAGCAGCGGGGGGGAGGGGCGTCTTCCTGGGCGGGCAGCCCCGCCCAGGGAGGAGGAGGGAGGAGGAGGAGGAGGAGAGGAGGAGGGAGGAGGAGGAGGAGGAGGGAGGAGGATGAGGATGAGGATGAGGATGAGGATGAGGAGGAGGAGGAGGAGGAGGAGGAGGAGGAGGAGGAGGAGGAGGAGGAGGAGGAGGAGGAGGGGGGGGGAGGAGGAGAGGAGGAGGAGGAGGAGGAGGAGGAGGAGGAGGAGGAGAGGAGGAGGAGGAGGAGGAGGCAGAACATCGAAAGCAGAAAACGCTGGCGCCGGGGGAACAAACGGCCTCCCCTCTCACGGAAGTGACAGAAGGACAGGGGCGCCAGCGACCGTGCCAGAGGGCACGGTCGCCCCCAGATCCCGCCGGGAGGGCTTCTTAGAAGCACCTCTGCCTCTTAGAAGGCGCGGGCTTTCTCTGTTGATGCAGGGCCGGCGCCTTCCAAGAATCAGCCTTCTTCCCCCCTCCCCCCCAACCTCTTGTGCGCACCGCCGAGGTTTGCGCTCCCGGCGGAGGCTGGCTCAAGGCCAGTTCAGGCAGTGCTGGCGGTGGAAGGAGAAGGGCCGACCTGCATCTTGGCCGAGGGGCGCGATAGCGGACCACATCTTCGACCCACGGTCTTGGAACCGTGGCCGCAGCATCCACCTGGAGGTCGGTGGGTGGTGGACGATCAGGCTGGTCTGCCGCCAGACAGCCTTGCAACCGTTGCACAGCATGACGATCCAGTATCTGCCAGCGGCGCCAGCCCTATCGACGACCGTGCCACAGAGGCCGTTGACAGGGTTGGAGATTTGGTCGACGACCGTGGCAGAAGGTCCAACACGAATGACTGGTCTGTGAGTCTGGCGCTGTCAGCTTGGGCTACCTGGCTCAGCAGTGCGGGCGTCCTGAGTAGCCGTGAGTGGCAGGTATGATCGAGGAGGGATGCGGGATCTGGACTCCTCGCCCTCGTCCTCGTTTATGGCGGGGGCTCTGCGCGCCCGTGGGTACAGAGGGGAGGGGAAGGATGGTGGAAGCGGCGACCTCTTCATCTTCCTATTGCACGGTTTACCAAGCCACCCCCACCCAACCCGAAGGCCCTAGACCACCCCAAATTTCAGGTTGGACCTCGATGTTCTGGAGTCCCGCCCCACTGGAAATCGACGAGCCCAACGGTGCCTTCGGGTTGGGTTGGGGTGGTTTGGTAGGTAGATATATTGCCTCTCTACTCGGTTTGGGGGAACACGGCCTAGGGGGGTCTAAGCCTCAGTCGGGAGGGCGCTCTGGCAGGAAGGGACTGCACGGATCCGTAGCCGTCTGGGCTCAAGGAGCTGCCAGCACGGCAGAAACAGCTTGGCTCAAGCATGGTGGTCTGAGACCTGCTGCAGAGAGCCGGCGACTGTGAATCCTCCCACAAATTGAAGGAATCATTGGTGGGGACACCCATGGTGCCACCAAGTCGCGAGAGGCCCTTAGAGAGATCGAAGAGGGCGGTGAGCGTGTGTATCTGAACACCGTCAAGCGGCAGTTGCAGCCACGGGTCAGAGAAGGGCGTTCGTTTCTGACAGTCATCGCCTTGCTCTGGGTGGCCTTGTGGGTGGAAAAGGCAGCTCGCGCCAGAGGAGACCGCAGGGCTACTCCCAAAAGAGCTGGTGGAGTCCACGGAAACATTGCGGCAGTATGAGTTTCCTCTCGCGAAATTCATAAGCACGGACAAACCCCGCTCGACGGGCATCGTGGCACGAACATGCAGGCGCCACGGGGCCGGCTTTTCAATCGAAGGGTTCATCCGGATGTTCCAGATACACACCGCTATGATTGAGCATGACCCTGGGCCGAAAAGCTAATGCAAAACGGTCGGTCGATTCGCATCCGCAAAAGAATCGGGGTGGAGGGCTCATGTGCCTTGTTTTGTTCGTGGGCAGCGGGCGTTCTCTCGGCCTGGCGGAGCTCTTGGCCACGGGCGCGCTGGACGCAGCTATGGCTATGCCCTGGGCCCAGACATCAGTCGATCAACTCAGGTACATGTTGCTCGAGAATGGCGGGGTGAAGTTTGCGGGGGCTCCACCAGCGAGGTGAGACGCACCTCCGCGGCAGGCCACGTGAACTACGGGGCCCATA